AAAATGTTATTTTAAAAAGATAGTTTTAAAATTAAAATATTTTGTTAATTTAAAATTTTGTAATCATTTAATTAATTTATTTCAGTTAAATTAAAATATTTTGTTAATTTAAAAATTTTGTAATCATTTAATTAATTTATTTTAGACACAACGTGGTCGTATACCAGTTGTAATATTGGATGATTTAGAAACAAAACGATTAAAAAAGCAATTAAATGAAGCAACACTTAGTGGTTCGGTGATACGAATTGCATTTGAATATGTTGATTTTGAACCTCAATATACTTTACGATTACAGGTGATTATCTTATCACTTTGTGGATACGGTAATTAAAATGATATGATAGTGTAATAGTTAAAATGATAAAATGATAAGAAATAGTAACAGATTTGCATCATTTCATTAATCATCGTTAATTTTTGATGAATAATTAACGAAAATGGGAAAGCTTTTTTTTTTGCAATATTATTTTATCAAATGTTTGTTAATTAGTATATTTTAATTAAACCAATCTGTTCCCTTTTTTTTTTTCTTACTCTTCTTTCTTTTCCTCATTGTAATGATTTTTTTTTTTTATTTTTACTTTAACATTTCGATTTTATTTTACTGTACTAATTACATTATTATCAATATGATTTCGAATTATTAGCAATCATTAACGAAGGATTGATTAAACAATTAATTTAATGTTTTTTTTTTTTTAAATTATTGGCTCATTTTAATTATTACATTGACTTAGTTTTTCTTTTCCTTTTTTTAATTACTATATTAACTTAGTGATTGATAGACTGACTGATTGATCAACGATTTTATTTTACTGATGCGAATTATATTATTATCAATATGATTTCGAATTATTAACATTCATTAACGAAAGATTGATTCAATAATTAATTCAATATCTTTTTTTTAAATTATTGATTTTAATTGTTACATTGACGTAGTTTCTTTTTTTTTTTTTTTTTAATTGTTATATTAACTTAGTGATTGATAGACTGACTGACTGATTGATTGATTGATTGATCAACTCGAGAATGTCAAGGGACATTACCTTCGATTTCATCATATAATACCATAGGATTTTGAATTTTTTCCTACATAATAATGGGTAACTTATAGCATATGGTATGATAATTAAAAATGATAATTATTAATAATTAAATTAAACATCTATTGGGAGTTTTTAAGTTATTTAGTTAGATTTGGGAGTTTTTAAGTTATTTAGTTATTTAGTTAGTTAGAA